TTCTAACATTCTGGAAAAAAAACTGGAAATGTAGAAGGTTATATGTTAAAGAAACTCTCCCATCTGACCATTCTGATGGCAATCTAGGAGTCTCACTTGCACCACTCCACATTTTAATGCTGGGACAGAAGCTCCTTTGCAGCAAGTAGATCCAGTGACCTAACAGATTTGACTCCCTGCACACCCCACATTCAGACCTAAGTTCCCCGCATCAGCTTGACCCCAGGTTTCCCATAGCAGAGTCCCAGATGTCCTGTGCCTTTCAAGTAATTTAATTGTGATGCAGCAACTTAGAGAGCCTCTGGGGAAGAGCTCCCAAGGAAAAGATGACTGGGGTTTTATACCCTCACAGTCTGTGCACCTGTGCTTCAAACACCTCTTGATCCATTGGTGGTTTTGGTCTGGGATCTTCTCATTGTTCACTAGGTCCTGCAGAGTCTCTGTGTGATGCCCATCCCTGCCTGGCTGGTGTTGCAGATCCACATGCCCTTTGTCAGGCAAAAGGTCAGGGCTCCTTCATGGCTCCTTGCTTGTGGTTCCAGCCATCCAGTGAACACATCACACACCAAGCAATCTGAACTGGGTGTACTGCTCAACAGTCCTGCTAATGTACTGAAAGGAAAAAGAAAAAACTCTCGAGGCGTTTAACCACTGCCTTTACATACAGGATTATTGCAAGTGAAAAACATAACAAAATTAAGGCTACCAAGATTACCAGAGGGCAGAATATCAATTCATAGATTCCTGTGCACAAATACTCAAATTATTACAAATACAAAATCACAAAGGATTCTCAGAAGTCTTTTACTCATCAACTGATTGATTGCCCACTCTTCATTTGATGTGAGAATTGTGCATCCAGTTTTCCTTACCTAAAACTTAAACAGCAAAACTTGAAACAGCAAAATAAGAACATAGTAGGAAAGTATATGGCCTTCTCATTTTGGTGCTAACTTGGATTTTCTAGAGAATAACTTAAAACTTCATCTCCAGGCTATATACTATATACCTGTATTTCAGATGGCATGTGCTGATACAATTGAGCATACTCTTTTCTGTTCTTACATGCTCTTTTTGAATCTACAAAATACACTGTGTCAACAGTACATTTTGAAGGCAAACAAAGGTTGACTTCCTTAATCTATTGGGATGCTGAAAAAGCTAGCTGTTAAATTATTTACAATAAAATAGCCATCTTTAAGTGGTATTTACAAAAGTATAGTCAAGGGACCTAGCACCACTGGGTGATGGGTCACTGCATGTTGGTTAATCACCCACAAATCCTGCACAAGTACTCAGGGTCTCCATCTAAACTATTCTGGTTTACAGGCAATATAGGAATGTTATATGTAGACACATGTTTTAAAATTCCTTTATCTAAGTCTTGGTCTATCTGGTTTTGGACACTTTTCCCAGCTTTCAGAGGAATAGGATATTGTCTCACAGAGGGTGGCATGTCTGCCTTAGTTTTAATGCACATGGATGGTTCCCCACCTGTAGTGGTCTTAGTCCAGAACTCTAATAATACAGCTTTCAATATTTCTAGTATCTTTTGTTCATTTTTGAAGCTCTCAGTAATCACACTCAGTGCCATTATTAAATCCATTCCTTCTGGTGACACATGCAATTCTGTATCTAAGGCCTGTGGAAGGTCTCTCCCTAACAAGCACACTGAGAAATCTTTTACTAATACAAATCTTCCCAGCATACTCTTATGTCCAATCATTCATAATATAGGTTTACTTAATTTTTTCCCTGCCTAATGGCTCCATGTATGAATACTTTGTCTGCTATTGACCCTCTTGGGGCAAAGTTTAAGAGAGCTCCTGTATCTACTAGAAATTCAACAATGACACCCAATCCCCACATACTATATGTCCCTGTTGATGTGGGTGTTCTCCACAAATTGAACATTTCTAATTGTATGACTTCCTCAAATTCAGTAGAATTGCTGACCTCTAGTCATTGTGACAATCTATCCTTGCACAACTACTCTCCCACTTGGTTGAAAAGGCCATTCTTTTTGCCTATGTCCTAAATTTCTACAATAGTAACACTCCATTTCCACATTCCTTTTCTGCCTCTTTCTGCTTTCTGGTTTAGGTCTAATTGTATTTGGTCTTTCTCTCTTCCATTTTCTCCCCTGGAGATTTCCTGTCATGGCAATAGCCATCAGATTTTCCACTTTCTCCAGTTTCCCTTTTCTCCTCTACTTGCTTTGCTCTCTGTTTTTTCTTTCTCCCATCACACACAAATACTGCAACACCTGAATTGTCTGTAGTTTTACTCCCTGCCACCCTGGCATTTGCTCCTTAAATTACTTTTGGCTGTCTGGTGCTGCCTGACCTACAAAGACACTAATTGTAAGTGTACCATTAAAGTTTTGTGAAGCCATTGCCTCATATTCTAGCAAAACTTGTTGGAGGCAGCCCCAAGAATCTCTAGGATTTTTGTCCATTCTCTGTCTGCATTCCATTATTTTAGTCTAGTTAACCTTTCATTCCCCATGATCATATTGCTACAACCAAGTTTTGCTAGAAACCTGGTTGAAGCAATATGCAGGCCTGTCCTCTGGGGTATTATCATTCTAATTTGGGTCATTCACTGACCAGGGATTCCTGCTTCCTTCTGCTTGCAGTGCCAGTTCTGCTTTGCTATTAATTACTTTTCCCCTTTCACCTGGCCAGAACCATTCTTTCAAAAGCACCTGCATGCGCCCCCAGCTTGGGTTATTTCCAGCACTTATATTACAGCTGAGCACATTTCTTGCTACCTTCCCTCAGCCTTGGCATCTCACTTCCCTATAGTGCCAAATGACTCGGGCTCCACTGGTGTTTGGTGAACAGCTGGAGCAGCCGCACAGGAGAAAAGTTAGATGGTGTTGAAGGAGTATTTAATGAGCAGGGCAGTGCCGAGGCAGAAAGAGCGCCGGCATTCCTGCTTTGGAGATGAATCCCCGCGATCCGGCAGGGCGGTGCCGATGTAGGCAGAACGCCAGGATTCCTGCTTTGAGGCTCAGCCCCTGCCGCCGCCCTGTCACCGTCGGTTCGGCTTCCCTCTGCCACTTCTCATCCGTGCACAGCTGTTCCAAACATAACAATAATCCATGTGATCTGGGAATCCATTTTCCAGACATTGCCGCAGGAAAGTTAACTAGTGTAGATCAAAAAGTGCCTTGTGATGGCCAGTGTTCTGCCACTGAGGTACCACTACAGGCTACAGCCGGGAATGCTCCTGGCACAGTTGCTGCCTGCTCTTCGAATAACAGCAGAGTGCCACAAGCGCTGCTCACCTCCAAGTGATTTAATCGTGGTGCAGCTGGGGGCCTCTGGGGAAGGACCCTCCCAAAAAAAGATCACTGGAGTTTTATTCCCGCACAGTCTGTGCGCTCACTCTCCTCGCAGCTCTTGGTCCAGTGGTGAGTTTTGGTCTGGGGTCTCCTCGTCCCGCAGAGCCTTGCGGTGACCGGCCACCCCCCGGCCGGTGTTGCCCCCTGCCCATTCGCACTCGCTGCCGGGGTCCCCAGCCACTTTCCCCAGCCAAGCCACACCAAGATAGCTGCAAGGGGTGTTTTTCAAACTGTATCAACCGGTATTCTACTTTTAAATATACAGTATATTCAATATGTGCTAAATGTAATAATATTCATATATAGATAAATGTGGGGACAAATATATGCCATAGACAAACTGATATAGAGCACATATATGTTAGTCAAACCAAATCCAACACGGATTTGTCTCTGGATGAGCAGAATATTTAAAAGGCCACCCTAGTACTTTCCAGTGCTACACTGTTTCCCTTACTAAAAGCCAATTGTCTCTTTTCTGTTTTCCTAACAGATCTGTGATATCTTTTATTCTAACAACATGTGAGTAACAGGAAGAAATAAAAGAAAATTATACTTTCAGGTATGGATATATGAATCAGAAATGATACAACATAATTAGAATTATGTTTAGAATTCAACATAATTCTAAAGGGGATCTAAAAATAAGTGATTCTATACAGTAAGGGGGTTTCATATGTCAGGTTATGATTCTGTTTTAGACTCGTGTCCCTTCTTTACACTTGGCACTGTACTTCATAGAATCTCAGGATTGTCTAGGTTGGGAAAGATGTGTATGATGTCCAGCTCTTAGCCCAGCACTGCCAAGTCCATCACCAAATCATGTCTCTAAGAAACATATTTCCTGTTTTTTAAATATCTCCAGGGAGGTATTCTTGTAGACATTCTGTTCATAAAAATGTAAAATGAGTAACAGCAATGACATTAAGAGTCAAGACTATGTCATCTGGCAGTTCCATTACCAGTTTTTGATCAGTTTGAGTAATTTTAAGAACCATTAAAATATTAACTTTCATAGGCTATATTTTGTCCATATCAACCAAATGTTCCAGTGTTGGTGTCTGCACCGAACAGAAAAGCATCTCACTATGCAACAATTTGTAGTTCTCACTTTGGGATGCTGATTTGATCCCAAACGCGAAGTCCAGCTTTTTACTGTAACAAAAATGTTTCACTTTCTGAGGAGTAATTTCACAATGGTGAGGAGACACAAGCACCGTTGAAAAGTTACCTTTTTCGTGAGCCTTTCTAGTGTTTTTGAGCTTCATGAGAAAAACCAGCACACTGCGTATTTTGCACAAAATGAACAGGTTAAATTTTTTTTTTTCCTTAATGTGATAAACTGCGTAAACCCCCTAACCGATTCCCTTCTCACCTCCCTGTTTAATAGGATCTACCCCTAGTTGAACTAAACCTATGGCTTTTTCCGAGTGCGCACTTGTCCACGGGAGTCCTTTACCGGGACACTGCGGCGGGGAGCGAGTACCCGGCAGAGGCCAGCGGACAGAAACGCCCACGGCCCCTGAACAAACCAAGCGCTGCCCTTCGCTTCCCCGAGCCCAGCCCAGGTCCCGGAGCCCAGCGGAGGCCGCTCCGCTCCGCCCCTCAGGCCGGGCTGCGGCGGCGCCGGGCGGGGCGGGCTGGCGGAAGCGCGGCGAGCTCCCGCCTCCCGCCGGGGTCGGGGGTCAGCCGCGCCCGCCGGCTCCGGGCGCCCATGGAGGGCTCGGAGGACGAGGAGCCGGGGCCTGAGGGGCCGCTGCCGCAGCTGCTGAAGCGGCAGCGCAAGGAGAAGCGGGAGCTCCAGGGTGAGGGGCGCCACGCCCGGCGCAGGGCGGGCGGGGGAGCAGGCGGGGGAGCAGGCTGGGGAGCAGGCTGGGGAGCGGCGGCGGGACACGCGGGGCTGGCTGGGCTCGGCGTGCTCTCTCCGCCTTCCCTCGCGGGAAGCCCCGCTCGGCAGCGCGAGTGGCTCGAGGGGCGGGAGGGACGGCGGCGGCCTGTGGAGGAGGAGGGAGCAGCCCTGGCAGCGCCCTCGCAGCGGGACGAGCGCGGGTGGTGTGCGGGCAGCGGTGCGGCAGCCGCGCCGGCCGTGCGGGCCTGCCGGGCTCGCCCTGCCGTGGCCGCGGGAGCCGAGACCTAATGCTGGGCCATTGGTTCGCGGTCTGGTACTTTGCTTTCAAGGTGAAGAAGGTGTGGTTTTTTGAGGCATTTTAGATTGAAAAGCCTGCACAGGGGCTCTTCCTGCCCAGCCTGTTATGTTTGTCATTCCAATTGCAGTTGACTTGAACTGAATTTTTACGTCCTATCCAGCCATAATAAAATACTTATAGTAAAAGATCTGAATGGTCTTAACAGTGCTTCAATATTACCTTGTAACGCTGTGCATCATTTGACCTACCCTATTACAATATATTACTATAATTAAGGAGGTCAGATAGATGGATTCTGTTGAATTCCATAGTTGTTATAACATTTTTGTTAAGCCTTTTCCATTGCTAGTATATTGATTCAGCTTTTTCCTTGTTTGTTTTTTTTTTGGTATGTAATGAAATAAACCTATATGCAACCTCTTAACAGAGGGTTAAAGAAGAAAGGAGTCAGGTTGCATATTGTCATTAAATCTATAGGAACTTACTGTTCTGAGATGCCTGTTCCTTCATAAGAGTTGGTTGAAATTGAAGAAACATAGGGAATCAAGCATTGTCCTAGGTGGCTGGAGTGCATGGCATGTTGATTGGGAGTGGCTGAGGACCAGAGGGTTTTTACGCCTTAGAGAAGATGATAATGGGAGGGGTATATACATGGCAGAGTCCCTTTCTTCCCAGCTGGGAGAGGCAGGTGACTTATAGGTACATGTTTGCCTAGTAAACTTGTAAAATACATTCCTGGTATGTGCACTGATAACTGTTTACTGGAGAGCAAAACTGTTTGCAAGAGTTAACACAAGGTGCATCTCAACCTTTGAAAATCCAACGCCTTCTCCTCCAGTTGATGGTACTTGTCTCCACAATCCCTTCCCTGCTTTCCACCACTCATACTCTCTCCTGTGTGTTTGTGTGTGCCTTTTATGTTCTGGATTCCCTTCTCCTCTATTATGCTAATATTAGTGAACAAAGCTGCTTTTCTGTCATACTCAGCTTATTCATCTGTGGGGCTGAATGCTTAACATAAATCTTTCAGTATGAGCATTCTTCCTGCCTCCCTTTGAAAAGTTTCATTATCACTGCCACCATCTTCAGCTCAATTGGGTCAGTCAAGGATGAAGGACAGGAAAATGTACAGGTGATGAATAGCAAGCGGGGTGTTAAATAATTGCTGCTGTAACTCTAAAACAGTGAATACAGAAGTGACAGAGGTAGGGGGAGTGTTCATTTAGGAACACATGAGAAGAAGAGAAGACTATAGGGGAATGTGGTCGTAGTTTCTGTAGAGCCAGACTCATCAAAGAATGGAGAATGGACTAGAGACACGGGCTGAAGGGCAACAAGAAAAATCTTCATGGGAAGAATAAGGGAAAATATTTTCATAGCAAGAATCATTAAATATTGGGAAAAAAAGTTTCCCAGAAAGGTTGCAGAATGCCTGTCCCTGAAGAGTGTACAGTCACCTGAATAAATTTCAGGTACATCTGAATTAGCATAACCTGATGTAGCTTTGAATTCAGCCCCACTTTGAGCAGGAGGTAGAACTAGGTAACCTCTGGACACCATTTCTAACCAAACTATTCTGTGATTTTAGAAATGAAGCATTGAATTAAAGCCTAGAAATACTTAGGGACTTTTATCAAGATGTTTTTGTTTTCAAATACCCATTTTGCTTTGAGAAACTTTGTTTTAAGGATGGGTAAACTCAGTTTTTAATTTTAGTCTGCTGCTTGTGTGATTAAAAAATTACACACCTTTCCTGTGAGATCTGATATTTTGATGCCCATATAATCTTTCTGAAGGCAATAGGCCAAAGTGCTGCATTGATGAAATTCATATGTATTTTTATTACTAATCTGGCATAAGTTTTTCTCTTCTTCAGAGAAAGAAAGAAAAGGCAGTTTGCATCTTCTAAGAAAAAATATAGCCATTTGGAAAATGTGAGGATTAGAACCATCAGTCTCACACTAAACTGTAATACTGATTTGTTGATGTTTGTAAATTAATTTTTCTGTGTGACTTGCAGTTATTTTCTGCAATGATCATAGCGTATATATTAAGAAATAATGTTTTATTTCACTGCTTCTCTAACAGCAAAAATTCAAGGCATGAAAAATGCTGTTCCCAAGAACGATAAGAAGAGACGAAAACAGCTGGCAGATGAAGTTGCCAAACTAGAGGCAGAACTTGAACAGAAGCACAAGGAGGAATTAAAGCAGCTGAAGGAAGCTTCACCTGAACAGAATAAGGTAGGTGCCCTAACTTCAGCTGAAGTTATACAGGTAAAATTTGTGTTAGGGCTTTTTTAACTTTTAAAAATTATGATGAAATAATACTTCAAAGTAGTTATCCCATTCTTCACAGTATTAGTATTGCCCATGTAACAGTGGGGGATTTTTGTTGTTGAGCACTGTTGAGAGAGTGGCTTGGTTGCTTAAAGAATCACTGTAAAAGGTATTTCAAAAGCAGGTTTAATATAAATTTAATATAAATAAAACCATGACAAAGTGCGATGGCAAGATTTACTCTGGTACTGAATCCATGGATGAGGCGTACAAGGAAAATCATTACACAAATGCCAAGCTGTAACAGAAATTAGATGTAGGGTAGAGGGAAAGATGCACCACCACAGGGAGTATTTTGTGTTGCTTTTAAGGCTCCATGAGCAAATCAGTTATGTTAGAGAATTTTTTTTTTAAGTTACTGTTATATTGCCACTCTGGTTATCTTATGTAGACTACTCAAGTATTGATAACCTTCAGCAGGTGCTTGACTCATCCAGTCTGTTTTGTCTTGCAGTTTTGTCAACAGTGTGACTGATCTTTTTGTATAGCTCATACAGTTACTGAGTTAGGTTTGTGATTTTTCTTGAGAAGTTTCAACTCTGTGTTTTTCAACTGCTGGTTATGCTTTGATATACAGGATGGACCCTTCTGCTTTAATTTTCACAGAACTTGCTAATGGCTGTTTAGATACCTCACTGGCTGGCATGATGAGGAAAGCTTTTCCTTTCAGCCAGTAAGCAGTGTTCACAGTCCAGAATGTTAGAGAACATACAGCTTAAATTTGAGATGCACATAACTCTGTTGGGACTGCAGAAAAGTAACGAAATGCAAGACAGTAGTCTGGGATGTGAAATGCTTTGATGGCTTCTGCGCTATACATGGATCTTCGGGGTTAAACTTCATAAAAATAATCTGAAAGATAACTTAAAACTGTTTCAGAAGATGCATAACTTAGTTATTGCTTATACTAATAAGAACATTTAACTTTTTTTTTTTTTCCTTTTAGACAGATTCCATAGTTGATGGGGTTGCAAATATAGAGCTTGAAGGAGTAGTGCAGCAGATTCAGCATCATCGAATATCAAAAGCACAGAAGAGGCGGGTATGACTTCATGTTAAACATTTTGCAAATAACTGATTATGTTCAGCTAAACTTAACTGCAATAGCCAAAGGTAAACCATCTTTTGGGGGACATTTCCTGGTTAATTCTGTATTGATGCTGTATTGAAGCTGAGTGCCTTGAAAATCTGTTAAACTGCTGCCTAAAGATATGTAAGGATTTTATAAATTATAGTACTTTTCTACACTCAGCCATGAGCCAGGAATCAGAATAGGTTAGAAAATGGGAGCCATAAATAGAGAAATTATGTAAAGCAAATTATTTTTTAAAGACTTCCACTAAAAATATTATTAAATAAGTAAAGTAATTGAATAAAATACTCTGTGGAAATTATGCAACTAGTGGTATTTAGAACATTTAAGGAAAGACCGTCCATACTTAAGAAATTCTTTTAAAATATCGAGTTGTTAAGAAACACTACCTAGTGTCCTATTCTGTTAGGCTTAGATCTGATTAAACATCAGATGTTGTGATGGATTAACATTCTCATTCTACCTGGTCAGGGCCAGGGGAACACTTCTTTATTGCATATTTCATCCCCTGTTATGTGTTCACTACAAACATGGTAAAAGGATGTTTAAAATTCATGGCACCATGTCTGGGCAAACCAGGAATTCTGGTCTAGTTTTCCTATATTCATCTTGCCTAAACCAGCCTGATCTTGATTTGTGGTGAATTTTAAGCATGAAAATGGAAAGATCATTCTTCGTACTGCTTCCTTTCTTATTTGCTTATTTACTTTGGTTCTTGCACCCTTGTTAACATCAGCATGAACTTGTGAAACATTCTATGAAAGTAAATTTTTAAAAAATTTTTACACTCCTACTAATATTCTCTACATGCACTCTTATCCATCCTTTAGGTTAGGAGGAGTCTTTTATGATGTAGAGTACCTGTCCTGAGGGAGTTTCAGTTTCATGGCATGAGCTCCATTATGCAATCATATACTTAATTGGTAGATCTCACACTTCTTATGAAAGAGCAATATTTTCTGATGTTTAATTAGAGTTCCCATACTTGAGTGTTGAAATAGTTAATCCTGAAGAAAGCACTATGATTAACAGACTTTATATGAATGTTGGAAAGTGTTATTTTGCATGCTGTTATAATTAAGATTTCTCTTGTCATATAATTTTGGGTGTGGTTAACTGTGGAGGCAGTTGGGATATATTGGTCACTTAGCATTTGCTAAAGTTTGGGTTTAGGAGGTCCCCAAGATCAGTCTGAATCACGTAGTACTGATTTGGACAAATATTTTTTAGATAAGAATGTACTGGGAAAACATTGGAAGAGTTAGAAGCAAGCACTAAGCCAAGAACCATATGGGCATATTCTAAATTTTAACATTAGATGTATTTTTTTTTTTTGTGTGTTTTTAATCAAAGGAGAAAAAAGCTGCTTTGGAGAAAGAACGAGAAGAAAGAATAGCTGAAGCTGAGATACAAAATCTAACAGGTGCTAGACATCTTGAAAGTCAGAAACTTGCCTGCCTATTGGCAGCAAGGCATTTAGAGATTAAACAAATCCCTTCAGATGGCCATTGCATGTACAGAGCTATTGAAGATCAGCTCAAGGATCACCAAAATTCCTGGACTGTTGCAACTCTGAGGAACCAAACAGCAAAGTATATGCAAAGTCACTGTGATGACTTCTTGCCTTTTCTTACAAACCCTAATACTGGAGATATGTATAGCAGAGGTAAGACTTGTAGCATATGAGATTTTAAAAATTAATCTAGGAAATATTTTTCCCCATTGGAAAAAATAAAAACCCACAAAACAGAACTGGCTGGTTACTAGATGATGTGAACTCATTCTGGAGTGTGATTTGTTGCTATAAAGAGCTTGTCTACCAGATTGGGATGATTTTCTTGTCAAGTTTTATATTGGTGTTTTTAATGTACAGAGGAAGGCTGTTAAAAATGGGTGTGAAATTCAATCAAATCTGTTTTGTAATAGTTTGAATAGATGCATTTTCTTATTTTACCTTATTTTTCCACTGCAAATTATTTTGGAATAATTTTTTACAAATAGACTAAACTAAAAAATATAAAGAACTTTACTGTGGAGGCTGAGTAAAAATGGAGTTTGTGTACCTCTTATTTGAGCAATACACAATTTATTCATCATGCCTGGAACACCACAAAAATGTCTGCATAAATTTCATTAACTTAATGCTATGTTTGTTTAATAGGCATTGCTGTGGATTTCATGTGGTCACTGGGTGCTGTCTTTCCCATGTTTGACAGAGAATATTGTCACAGGCTAAATGTGTCCCAGGAGAATACAGAATAAAATTCTGCACAGCAACAGGGAATTGTGCTGTTCTGTTATAAAGGAAATTAATGATAGGTCATTCTGAGCAGTTTTCAGAAAATCTGAACATTCTTCTTTCTCAAAATCTGTTTGTAAGGTTAAAAAACTTGAGGGTTTGTAATTTACAAACTTGGTTTCTGTAGAACATGATCTGAAAAGATTAGCTATTTACAGAGTAACTATTAAGAATGAATATTTCAGAAGTTAAAAACAAGGCAGCTAATCTGGAAATTTAAAAAACCCTAGCCAAGTGTTTACCTACATGCAGTTGCAAGATTTTTAAAACATACATGACACCTGGTGAATGTAAGAACTAGATATACTACTCACTGTCACATTCTTTTCTGAAGTTTCTAAACACTCTCTGAAACTCAACATGAAGGAAACTATGCAATTTCATGTGTGTTGTTACCTGTTGTTTTCTGAATAAAAAATTAAAATATTAGCTGTACTTCTTTTTATACTCTTTTTTATCCCTCTCTTCAGTCTGAAATTTTCTTTTCAAAACAGAATGAGTTTGGGTTTTTTTTTTTGATAACTGTTTTTCTCTGATTTTCTTCAGTGAACATGCATATTTTCCATTATAATGTGTTTGTACTTTTCTGGTTCTAGTTTGCAGAGTTTTTCCTCAGTTGCTTATTCTCAACTAAGACAAGTACTGATTGTTGTGTTTTCTTTCCCTGCAGAGGAATTTGAGAAATACTGTGATGATATAGCAAATACAGCTGCATGGGGAGGTCAGCTGGAAGTAAGTACTGTATTGATAATTTTTATTTGTGAAATTCTGAGGTGGGTGAATATACATTAAGAAAAAGGGCCTCTTTAGAAAGAACACCTGAAGGCATAAGGGAACATAAGGCATAAGGGAACATAGTCATAAATAGCTTATTAATAGCTATTTCTTGTGGTTATGGGTTGTTTTTCCACCATCTTTTCTGATGGTGCACCACTGTTCTGATTTATTTGACAACATGTAAGTTAATGAATTCATTTGGTATGAATATCATTAGAAGGACTGACACAATGAGTGGGCAAGCATTGTTAGGTTGTTGTCATTTAAATTAGAACTTGAGCTTCACAAAATACGTATTTATTTTAGTCTTATTTTTTATGAAAGAACAGTTAGCAAATTAATGAAACTAGCCCAATGTGGTATCCTTTAAACATTGATTAGTTTAAAGCAAGCTGTTTCCAATTAAAGTTTTTAAAGTTAAAATAATTTTGCTTATTTTAATAATTCCTGAAAACTTTTCTAATGTTATGCTTGAACTGTCTGCTAAAATTAAATGCCTAGTCTTCTTGTCTCCTGCCTACGTTGTCTTTAATCCTATTTCTAAATTGTTTTTGCATTAAAGCTAAGGGCTTTGTCACACATTTTACAAACACCTATTGAAGTAGTGCAGATGGATTCTCCTCCCATTGTTGTTGGTGAAGAATATTCAGGCAAACCAATAACACTTGTGTAAGTATGTAATTTTATCACTTAAATTTAGTGCACCTATTTCTGTAACAGAGGGCTCAGCTTTGATTCTCATCTGCTGTTTTATTTTCTGTCTTATGTTGAAACGCATCTTATGTTGAAACACTGCTTGAGTAATAGCTGTGCAGGTCAGAAATTATTTGTGATTGACATACTTACTTTGGAGAAATTGTAATTAGACAGTGATGTATATCAGTCAGTGATTTAGAAAATGCTGCAAGGTCATTTTACCTGGTAAATAATTACAAAACAATAATGACATTGATACAAGATGGAGGAAACTTTTTCCCCTTCTTTAGAGTATTTGTCAAACTGTGCCTGGAAGTCACTAGATTTAAAAATTGACTTTATTAATACTCTTCTATGTAATGATACTATATATTTTTGTTGCTAAACCTTGGCTTTATTTCAGTTGTCTTCCAGTGCTGTTACTGTTTGGCATGATGTATACTTTTTGTTTAACTGAACACTATTTCTGTAACTTTTTTTTAGGTATATGAGGCATGCCTATGGATTAGGAGAACATTACAATTCTGTGAAAGTTCTAACAGACACTGCTACAGAGAACAGCAGCTAGCATACAAAAGTTGTACATTCACATGGATAACATGGATAACAGTTGCATCGTGATGTGTTTGGCTCCAGGAAATTCCCAGTAAGACTGGAAATGGATTATAAATTAAAAAAAAAAAAAAAAAAAAAAAAAGACCTGCAGGGTTTGACTATAAAATCAGATATGCCTCTAGGTTTATAACAAAACCAAACCAAAACCACACAACAAAATGTTGAACTTATTGGTATTAATTATGTTTAGAAGATCTTCTGTAAAATGGTGGCTGCGTAGATCAGGTTTTTTTTTCAATAGAGCTTCCTCCCAGCGCTGCAGAGAAAATATCAAGTAGTAAAAGTTCATTTTGGTTAATCTGCATTTCTGCTGAAGATTTAAGGTTACCTGAAGGTCCCTGTTCCATTACTTTAGATTTGCACAATAATGGAAGAGTTCAGGCATTTGAAATAACTGATTGTATTTTGCTTATGGAATGCCATCTGCCGTGTTTCTGTAGTCCTATCAGGGTCTAATTTCAACAATGTAGTGTTGATTCCCTTCTTTATTTGGGCAGAGAACATCTGGAGGTAAATCCAGCAGCAGAATATCTTGGCTTGGCTGAAGGAGTCTTTGTGAAGACTTTCATGTAAGATTTTTACCAAGGGACGATGTAGGGTTTTTTTGGAGTTGACAACCAGGAATTCAACTCTTGTGCATTGTTATTTATGACTGTACATTAATTATACTGTCAGGGCAAGTTAACTGCACTGTTCATTCTCCATAATCTTTCAGCTGTGCATTTAGGTGAATCTGAAATCTTAAAAAGCTCCTCAGTGTCCTCACTTGAGGTAGTGAAACTCATCTGAACTAAAAATTTCTGAATCTGCTGATCGAAGCACTTTGTCGTCTAAAGTGTGATGTTTTATAATGTTTAAAGTAGATGATTGCGCACAGCTGTAGAAATAATCACCTTGGGTTTTATCAGTAACTGAAGGTGATCTGGAAAAGAATTAAGTTTATTTTAATTTTTTTTTATAATGTGCAGAGACTTGAAAAGTTTTAACATAGCTTGACTTTTTACATTAGAAATTTAGATTGTTGTCTGTAAATGTGACTTCAAAATTAGGAACGTATTGAAACCAAAATTTGAATGCAAATGTTTTTTAACAAGATAAGTGATTTTTTTTAATTTTTAAAAAGCCTTAGCCAATAAAAGTATTGTCTGTATTTTACTGCTGCTGAATTGGTTGGGAGAAAAGTGGTTCATGAAAAGATTTAACACCTTTGCCCTGGTTTGGGGATTATGATCTAATAGTATCTATCTTGTAGTCCTTCAATAAAGCCAGCCTGCAGACTTACATTCCTGGAACTTAGAAAAATCTGTTCATACTTAAGAGGGAGATAAGTGATCACTTTATGGGTCAGATTATGTCTGATTTAAAGCACTTTGCGAGAGAGGGAGTAAAAAAAAATACCAGATAATTGCAGCAAGAGTTTTGGACAAGCAGTTCCTTAGGCTGGTGCCTGCCAGGAAGACAAAGTATTAACCAGATCAGGAGTTTTTGCATTCTTATTTATCTGTTACAGTGTAACAAATATAGCTGGTTTATGTACCAAACCAGCTGGCTTACTGTAAAATTTGGTTTACTACTTTGATTGTCTAAAATGATGGTTTTAATTTCAAACAAAAAATAGGATACAACAGCATGGAAAAAATGTTTCTATTCATAATACCATTGCACATTTCACTAAAAAGAATAATAATAAGTACTCTTCTCTGCATTGCTTAGAATTGATGTGATATAAAATGCACATACTGCGTTTTATAGATACACAGTTCTTTGGTTTATTTGGGTTTCAGTTTTGTTTGAATAACTGAGAGAGAAAAGATGCCAGAATCGGGGAACACCTGTACCAAGAGTTTGTCGTGTTGAAGATGTTTACAGTTTGTATAAAGTTAAATAATTTAATATAGTGAATGAAAGATCCTTGTTCATGCTGTATGGGACTTGCCAAAAAGTAATAAATTGGTTTATTTGTGGCAAATCTTCTTGGGGTCAGTTTCATTTTGTACTCAAATAGTTCACTTATTTCTTAGTATGAGTAAACTTATCTGTTTAAGTTTTAGGATCCTACTGTAATATGAATTCTAAAACAACTGATTGTATTCAGGCAGACAGAGCTTCATTCCATATGAAATTAAGTTGTTTCTGAACAAAATTTATCCTTTGCGTTTTAGCAGTTAAACTTGAGCTCTTCTGGAGAACTGTATTTGAAAATACTGTTGAACTTCCCCATGCACTAAGAATGAAGTGAAACTGAGAGGGGGACTTCTCACAATAAAGCTTTTAACTTCTATGTCAAATTATATTTTTCTCTGCAGATTAACACTGTTTACTTTGAGTGTGTTTCAGTAGCTTTCCTTGCTTTTATTTGTAATTCAGTTTCTTCAGCTGCTATTTCTTTTAAGGGCTGTTGGGTATTTTTTGCAAGATTAATTGAGATTATGTTGCCAGCAGGAATGCTCACATGAACAGGAGGGAAGCTGTCTGTGGTCTGCAATAAATTGTGTACCATATTCTGAAAGGGAAGAATGTATTTGTTGTTGAAAACAGTGGTTACATGTGTCTCTTAGTGCTTGTCCTTGTCCCCTTCACTTACTCTGCACCAGTCTCTGCTCTCCTGTCCTGTTGTGTGGGCTGCAGGCAGCCTCAGAAAGGAGATGGGAGGTGGTGGCAGCCAGAGGGAGTGCAGACCTGTCATAATTTAAACAGTAAATTAATTAATCTAATAATTTAATTTTTGGATAGTAAATTAGTTCAAGGATTTTTTTAAAGAAAGAAATTATATAAAATGTGATGAAGCATTGATGTCCCTTGTGCACATCTGTACAATTCTCATAACTTCTTGGGTTTATGTATATTAAAATATTGCACAAAACTAAAATGGCACATTTTTATGTTGAGGGTGGCAGACCAGTGGGACAGGCTACCCAGAGAAGTCGTGGAGTCTCCCTCTCTGGAGACACCCAGCTCCTCTGTAACCTGCTCTGGGTGATCCTGCCTTGGCGGAGTGGACTGGATGATCTCCAGAAGTTCCTTCCAACCCTTGTGATTCTATAAGACACAGTGAAGAGGGGATTTTTTCACAACCGCTTGCTTTGAGGAACACTTTTTGCCTCCTCTCCATGCTCTGTTCTTTTTAACAGGCCATTGAACAGGGGCTTCAAGGAAAAAAAAAACAAACCAGTTAAAATTTTGGGTGTATGCAGAACACATCCCCTCTGCTCCTGTGACTCAAGGAGTAAGATGTGCTGGTAGCAGTGACTGGGTACATCTGCTGCTTGTGGGATGGTGGCTGCCCCTGAGCTGAGTTATGCTTGACTATCAGGTTGTTTTGAATTACAAGAGACTTAAAAATAGGATCTAAAACACAGAAGACATTTTCTGTACTTTTCTTGCCTCCAGTGAGAATGCTAACCCACCAATTCCTTTGTTTTGAGGAACTAATAAAAGCAACAGATGGTTGCTTTTATTGATTGATCGCTAGAGGCATATGATAGATGCACTTTTGAACACAACTAAAATCCTTAGCAATTGCCTCTGTATGTTAGAAACAGTTATAATCACAAAAATAATTATTCACGCACAAAAATATTTGGTAAAATTCAGAATAAACTGATGTAGTCTCTGTGTTGAATGTTAAATAAATACATCAAAGTGTTAATTGAAAAGCTTTATAGTATTTACAAGTTAAAAAAATTGGAGTGCATAAATTTATATAGTAAGCAGATTAAAAAAATTTCTGCAAAGGTTCCCAGAACTTCATCAGTTCTGCAAATATTTTGTCAGGATATATCGAAGGAGTTAGATACGTTAAGAATCTGATGTGCTGTGTTTGTCTAGAAATGAAAACCTTTCAGATGTGAATAATGCTGTTTTATTTTTTATTGCTCTTTTTTTTTTCTTTTCTTTTGAAGGATAGTATTATGAAAACATTTAAGGAAGATCTTTTATTTGAAATTATTATGTAAATCATGAAGATGCACGTTGGCATTTGCATTCTGGGAATATTCTTTTGAGAAAGCTAAGGATGTGGAGATTTTAAACATGTAACTCTTCCACACGTACATATATATATACACATATATCCTCTAAAATCAAAATATAAATATGCAATAATTTGTCATAAATCCTAATAATGCTCCACTGAGTGGGGAAAGAGTGAGGGGCATTTAATGAAGAAGCATTTTTCTTTTAGCTGTTTGCAAAATGTTGGTGCACAAAACAAAGACACAGAACAGGGAAAGTAATTGTGAACTGGGGATGCCTGCATGAAATGTGCAAAATAATTCGGTGTTGAGGAATATTCTGGGTGCTGGTGGCTGGGTGTGCTGCACGTTGTGCCCTGGCTAGGGGGAAGTGGCTGGAGCCCCAGGCAAACAGCTGTGAGTGTCCTTTTACACTTCAGTGCTTTTCAACACTTACACCGTATTTATCAGCAGCCTCCAACATTCAGAGCTCGGTGAGAGTGTTCTGTAGGCTCACTGGCAGCTACATTGCATCTTCTTCACTGGTTGGTGGAACTGCAGATTGCATCAATGAAATTCAAAAACTATTTTGATCTCTGGTATATTTATTAGTATTAGACATACTGTGCTTAATGTTGCTGATTCCATTATAGTGCTTGCTGTCTGGTTGATCTGCTGCTTGCAAGTGTTATCCATCTGCTTCTGAACATTTTGTCACAACTTTTGCAAACAACTGAAGAATTCGAGTCAACTTGGAGATTTTTGAGAAAAACTACAGGGGGCAAGGAGCTGGAGAATGTAATGCAAGAATGCTTTAAATCCAAGTTGAAAAACTGCTGTTCAGTAAAAAGCAATGAAGATACTATTAAGGAAAAGTATTTTCCTGATCTTCCAAACCTTTACATTTTAGATTGTACATTTTAGTTGTGACAATCAAATAACAATTTTGTTTGTTTTAAATAAGAAGCAAGTGGATGTCACACCTCTGATAAAATCTGTAAAATCTGAGTACATGCTGTCACTTCTAAAAGAACCTTAGCTTTCCCTGTCTTAACAAGTGATAGTCCCCCTCTTGTGGAAGGACACATTACAAAACAATGAGTCTTTTTCTACTTAGACCATTTGGGAATTCAGTTATTTTTCATGAAACATTTTTGATGTTGTCATAATTATCCGCATAACTGCTATGTCCTACTTGTGCTTGGCTGAGAGCCTTCTATCTACTACTCGTGCCACAGACATCCCTGGAATTAAAAAGAAATATGAAATAGCTTGTGTGGGTACAGACTCTTCAGAAAGGACAGGCTGGGAAGGTGAGGAGGACAGGGTTAGCTTAGTGCTCCTCTGTGGGACTGGTGATGGGGTCTGTTCATAGCTCATGGGTCAGGATCAGAGAGGGGTGGCCTAAATGGCTTTGTAGTGGGTCCCTGTTACACACCAACAAATGTATTTCAAATTTTTATAAAAGTTTGTTCATAGTGTAGGCGTTTTGCACAGTTTGAGCTCCCTGGCCAACTCCAATGCCTTAATCTAAAAATAAGGCAAAGCAGACTAAATTTGAAAAGTTTTGCTTCGTAAATACAACTGAATATGAAATCTCAGTAAATGCTGTGTCTGAAATTCTGTATTTTTTCTCTGCAAGACTTCTTTTTGCATTTGAAGAGCACACAAGACAGGTTATTTGTACAACATAAGAAAGCAAGTCTCAGTAGAGGATTTCTGCTAGTCTCACTCCACACAATGTATGGTACACATCCCGATGATGTACCATCAAAGTTTGTCTGATGCACAAACTAAGCTATTATTACTTTCACAGAGTGGCCTTTCCAAAACTCATTAAAAATGTTGCATGAGTATTGAAATAATCTTTATAAATTTCAAATGCATTGGTATGCAACAGTTTGCAGTCAAAAAACATAAAAATATCATTTTCCTTAGCCCCATCCCTGGCAATGTTCAAGACCAGGTTGGATGGAGCTCTGGTGCAACCCCACCGTGGCAGGGGGGCTGGAACAAAATAAACTTTAAGGTCCCTTCTAACCCAAACCATTCTATGATTCCATGATCATTTCAAGGACTGAAATCAAATACCCATTTTAATAAGGGGGAAAAAAAATTCGATCCTGTACTATGCACTGTAAAAATAGATGAGAACTACTGACTATTAGAATCTAAGTAAACAGGCCAAGAAGGGAATGAACTGGTAAAGGTATAAAGCTTGATTTTTATTTGTAAAAGCACTGTATGTGTTAACTATATATTGTTCAGAGTAAACTCTCAGTAAATTTTAATTGAAGAGCCTTAAAAATTATAAAAGTAACTTCACTTCTAAATTTTGCACATAGTACATCTCACAAACATTTCCTTTTGAAGTAATGAAGTGAGGGAATAGATAATCCATAACTATACAGAGTAACTCATATTTTAAATTTTGGAACTATGATTCTGCATGTTGCTCACATGCACATGGACATACAAAAATACATAGACATAAAATATATCTTCTCCATATTTGGTACTTTCTTCAGTTTGTTTTCTAAAGTAATGCAATAGTTAAAAAAAATTTTGATGTCAGGGCTGAATGTATCACTAGCACACAATGCACACGATATTCTGTTCATTCAGTTAATGGCTTCAAGGACAGCTTAACCAAGTATTATTGGCACACAATGCACATGACATTCTGTTCATTCAATTAATGGCTTCAAGGATAGTTTAACCAAGTATTTGAAGAACTATACACCAAGATTAAAGATATGCATTGAATAACTTTTTATCTCTTAAATGTAGTCACCTGTTTTTATAATAGCATAAATCAAAAAGCAAAGTGGTGGATGTGGGGTGGGAATATGGGTCTCAAAACTGGAGAAAAAATATTTAAGGAAATTATTAGTGGACTCAATAACACGTTTTAAAACTGAGCAAGTACCTTCCAACACTTTACAAAATACCAAAATTTGATCACATTTTTCTAAATGCATTGTAAAACAAATGAGTAAACATGAAGCATGATTTT